GTTAAAATATGCAAATTAGGCATCCAAAAAAAATCATGAAACCTCTTTATTTGATCAAATATAAATGCATTATCATTTATTACACTGAATTTAAGCATTGTTATTTTATTTTAAAGCACTTAAATCGGCATTTTTTTCAATCTTCCGTCGGTGACTAGACGGGATGTTTTGATGCATATGTAAATTTCTTGAAGCTCTTGCGTGGGCCGTGGAATAGTTTAATTGGAAAGTCTTGCTCATTTTCTGATACATTAGTAATAACATATAAATTTTAGAAACGCGATTTCATGCTTTTTACCTTACTAAAGTCGAATAACAAAGTAAAAACATGTCACTTAATTCTTGGCGTCGAGTTCTTGCGAGTACTTCGCCATTCTATCTTCCAACAATAACTCTCAAACGGCTAGACTATAGAATCATACCAGTCCACACGAATTGTCTTAGTAATCGCTGCTCCCGCAGTCACGTAGTCACACAGTGCCTGCATTGAATTGTGGTCCTGTTATCATTTCGTACACTATCAAACAACTAAGACGGCGGGTTGTTCGCGATCGGCATGYGCATTGCGCTTATTATTTTGGTGCTCCCGCAGTCAMGTAGTCACACAKTGCTACACAGGAGCCCATCAAAATAARTATTACCATTCAATTTCTAGTGTAACTCACACACCTTTTATTATTCTCAGTTGTGATACTTTTTCGTTCTACAGAGTTCGCAAGCAAACTATCGCACATCATGCTTTGCGATCACTGCGGGACTGCGGGAGCGCTCAATTGTGATACTTTCTCGTTATTTTTCATAATTCACAAAGCGAATGACGGTGTTTTGCACATAAGTAMATTGATTCCAGCTTGACTGAGTCATCTAGCAAATCAAACATATCAGCTCGGGCTAAAACTAAAGTTTTACAAGACGACAAGACGCTATCTTTTGATAGATATACAGACGTAAGGTGGTTTTGATTATTATCGCTACATTGATAAATAGGAAAAAAGTCCTGAAATCCCTCTCGAATCACCGCATTCAGCAAATATTGCTGAGTACTTTAACAAGCATGACATCTAATTTCTCTCTCTTCAAGCGTTTTAACGTGCAACATTACCCCGGGGGTTCGGGATTTTTCGAAGCGGGGCAAAGAGCGTTGGGATTTCAACGCCCGTTTGAACATGTATGAGGCTGGAAACTCGAGCATATTGAGAAATACCCTGAAAGCATTGGTCTTTAATCCTGTTTTATGTTTGTTTATTTTTCCTTGCATGAAAACTTTTTTTAAAGAGCCTTTTTAAACATTTTTTCTCCGTCCAGTTAGGCTCATGTATTACGCAAATTAGTACACAGGATTGACCAAAAACTAAACCCTGTTTATCACAGAAAATTTGATGGAAAGGTGGTCGTTTTGTTATTAGAGAGTTTTAGATGACGCGTTTACGGCGAACGCCAAAACTGATCACGTGACCACTGTTTTTCTGTATTAACRCTCCCTCCTTTCGCGATTGTGTATAAAATAGATCACTTTTTCGTGCATAAGCACATCACTATTCCTTTCGAAGCGTTTTTACGTTTGTTTGAAATTTTGAGACAAAGCATAAAAGCCAATTTGACGTTTGGCGTTTGCAGTAAACGTGAATCTAAAACTGTCAAATTACTACTCGGACCAAAATAGCGGTGCAACAGTAGCGGGGATTTTAACAATGGATGTACCCCCCGAACACCGAGGGAAACATTTTAACACCACTCCAACCTTAAATTCCCCGCTATTCCCCGGGGGCGGAGGACGGGGGTTTTAATTAACTAGTGCATAAAGGCTGTCAGTTAAAGGCTTTGACGTGTGTTTTGACATGTGTTTTGAAGCGACAAAAATTCAATTTCACTTTTAACTTTTTCAAACTTTATTAATTAAATTATT